AGATCTCGTGGTCATGACAATGTACAGAGCACTATGTCTGCAAATATTGGGCATCAGTAGAAATGTGTAGGTCACGAGAACAGTGTGTGGTAGTTGAAGTCCAGGAGTCATCGTCATTGTGTTGATGCCTCAGTCTTTCCAAAGCAGGCTCTTCGGCAAGCTGATTTAGACAAGACTTGGATTTGTACCTGATGTGGAGACAAATTCTTTAGTAAGTTCCCAAATATTCACTCTACATATAAGCTGGTGTAAATATCTTTCAGGATTTTGGAAACTCTGTTAAGGGATGGGTTAAATGCTAAGTGTTATTATGTGGTAGGTTAAATAATGAATAGATTTTGTTTCATTACCTCATTTGTAGAGTTCCTGGGAAAGTAACAGGAGGCATATGTTAGAAGAGATAGAGCTAAAATTTTGGGGTTACGTGGGCATTTCCCATTTTCTGCTTCCTTTCTTTGCAATCCTTCTGCTGTTAACCAAAATCTCTAGAGTAGATGATAGTGTATTTCTTGTGCTCCCTTCTGAAATGTGTTGAATCCTATCTGTTTGAGAAGTCTCTCTATTCTTGTCTTCTAAAAAAATTTGTTTTATGACTATGTATTCTGGCATGGTCTTTAATTTGTTTCAGTAGTCCTCCCATCCCTGAAAAATGCATGAGTCTTTCTGGCACCCATCCTTTTCAATTGTCTGTGAACAATGAAGCAAAGAATTTGATTGATTTTTATAGGCATTTTCTAATTACAGCAGTGGAAAAGCTAAGTGGACTATAGTGACGTGTACACTTTACTCTGCATCTTCCGTCATGTTTTCTCTGAGAGTTTTGCTTGAGTCTCACTATATCAATATTGCTGCTCAATATAAGCCAAGAAAGAAATACCCTTTGAATATCCGGTAGTACTGAAGCAGTATCCAGAGTTTTGACTGAAACAGAGTTGTGCAGATTAAACAGCTTAGATGGTTCAGCCTTGTTGGTTAGCCTCCTGAACCCATTAACAGTATTTTCATGTGGAATATTACTCTGATGTGTATATGTTTTAATAAAGTTAAACGTCGTAACTTGAGCAACTGTGATCCGGGAACAGTGAAGAGAAGGATGTGATTTCTTCATCATTGCCTGGGGAAAAAAAAAAATAAATCTTTTTCCACTTTGAAATGTCAAATTCCCTTCAAATCTAACCTTTTATTTTAACAAGCAAATATTGTAGCTGCTAGTTTGGATCTTGAACTGTTTTACTAGGTATTAGGCTCTGGCTACAGGAAAATCTACATGTGCCTAACTTTATGATGCACAACTCTTTAATTTCAAGGAGTCTTTGCAGAGTAGAAAGCTTGCATTTGATCCATGTAACTTACATTATAAACCCCTTCATTTCTTTATGCTGTTCTGCAGATAATCATTCACTTGTGTCTCTTTGTGGTGCTAGTTACTTGTTTTCTTGGATTGATCATAATTTCGTCAGCTTCCTAATTGAAGTGATATTAATCACACCTTTTTTTTTCCTCACTTCTGATACAAATTGTGTCTTATTTCTAACACCTACACTGAGATCTTGAATGGCAGGCGCCAGTCTTTTTGTAAATGAAATGATTAATGACTCGTGGTGTAGAAGCCAAACCCTTTGACTTGGGTGTGGCTGCAGCAGAAGCATCTCCTTTGCATGGAACATTCCAACTTGGCGGGTGTTTGGGATGTTTATGTGTGTGTTTTGATGGCAAGGCCCCAGCCTGCTGGAAAAATCTGCCATAAGATGACTCACAATATTATGACAGAAGTAGAGTCATTGTCTTTTACTTAAAGTGCATTTAATTTAATTTGTTCTTGACTATGTATAAAACCACTTAATAGTGCTATGCAAATTGAGATAACATATATCTATAATTCATGACAAATAGCTTCTACAGAACTCATGTATTTTCTCTTTAGCCTTAAAAATGAAAATGTTTGCCATGATGGATGATGCTTTTAAATCTAGTATTTGCTTCAATTAAGGCAATTAAATAAATATGTATTAGAAGGATACTCATCACAACTGCAATTTAAGCAGTTAGTAGTATTTCAGAATTCAAAGGAGAAATTAAATCCTAAAGCTATCGGAAAATATTTGTGAGCCTTTATAATACAGCCCCAGAACACTCACTGCACGCAATCTGTGCTCAGTAATACCGGATTCCTTTGATCCTTCAGAGAAGGGTGGTGATCAGTGATCACAGCACTGAAATCTGTGTATGCGTGCTCAAATGCAAATTCTGATGTGCCCAGTTAGCGGACAGGTATGTCTGCAAGCTTACAGCATACAAAACCAACTTTCATTTTTATTTAAAATCATGAGAAAACCCTCTTAAACAAAAGGAACAAGATGGCAATTATTGATTTCCTGAGCCATGTTTTTTGGATGCGTTTTTCTGGGGTTAAAAAAAGTGTTTTACTGAGCTCTGGGAGGTAAGCTCCTTTTCCTGTGGCTTTGCAACATATCCCTCCACTATTTGGGAAGGGAAAAAGGTGACCTGTGGAGGGTGGATGCCCCAGGCCCACAGCAGTGCGCACTTCCCATGGCCTGTACCAGGTCCTTTTGCATGCAAGTCGTAATACCTGTCTTGGCCCTTTTATAAGCCATCAGTGGGCTTGTTCGCAGTCAGCTGTTGAGACTTCTGTCTGCTTCAAAAACCAAAGGCAAGCACTATCAAGACAGACGAACGCTGTCTTCTGTAGTATTTTCTGGTAGATCAAGACTTTAGATAAATATAGACCAGTTAATCTAGGTCAGTAACCTATGTGTTAAGTGTGTCATTAACTGAAAAACAGCAGTATTCATTGCAAATTTCCCTTGTTCTTAAAGGGGAACTGGAATAACTGTGTGCTGGTAGGAGTTGCAGGGATGGGAAAGGATGTTTGAAAGGGGGGGAGGCATCTCACAGAGTGGGCTCTTCTTCAGCTGGGGAATGAAGCCACAGCACCGATGTAAAATGATGTATTATGCAACAGCAGTTTTTATTGATTTTTACCTGTATCGCGGTGAGAAAAACCTTACCTCTTCTTCATCTAAATGAAAACTGTTCTAAGGAGATTATCATGTCAGTGTCTCTGCAGCTTGCTGCTTGTTTTCTGGGAATTGTCAAGGCTTTTGCAACAACTTGTTCTCTCTTGTTCTGAGAGTTGGCAATCAAACAGGCAGCGCAAGTGATTCTTGGGCCATTTTTATTAAGTGTGAAACAAATATAAAGAAGGCAAGTGAAAAAAAATAACCAAACCAACAGTGTACACTTACAGAAACCTGCTTCCCTTGTCAAAACTGTGCTGTGAAAGGAATCTTTATTAGTCATACTGTCTCCATTATTGTGGCTGAAATAGGAGACTGGAGTGCTTTGTTTCCTTTTCTAGTATTGTCTTTTATTTTTCATGGATTTTCTGTGCTGCTAAGAGCAACGGGTGATACTGGTTTCATTGCACCATTTTCATTGCACTGAAATTCGGAGAATGGCATAAGCTTGATTTTATTCCTGCTAAGCATGTTGGAAGTGGAAAGTCCCACTGGTTTAGGAGGATTATGTTTCTTTTTACACCGCGTAAGTTTTGTTAATTAAATGTTCTTTCAGGAAATAATAGGGGCAGTATTATTATCTGTCTTGTAGACTTGTCTTCTAAAGAGCACGAGGAAACCAGTGATTATAAATGGCTGAAAAGAAATACATTTTTATTTACAATGCCCTTGTAGTTAATTCAAAGTCAAGCTTGTATTGAGTTTCCCATGATTTAATACCGTTTTGTGATCAAGGGAATTTGGGGTGTTGCCAAATGAAATGTTATCATATTTTTTGAACAGTGTGATATTTAATAGCTTTATTTCTGTCTATTGCAATTATTTAAAGCTTCTGCTAGGTAAAACTAAGAAAATAATTTCCCTAGAAACAAAAATGACAAAATTTAAGGACTGAATTGTTCACTAAAGCTTATATGTGTTTTTTTTTTCTTTTGGGGTTTTGTTTTAGGGTTTTCTCGGTGTGAGTCTGGTTTTCAGTAGCGTAGAATTTCAGTAGCAAAGGTTTCAGAACCTTGTGACTCTAGTTGGCTTCAGTGGGAGGAATTTTTGGTTAGCATCTTTGAAAATCCCTTCTTCCTTGTAGTTGTTATGGCTAAGAAGATTTGCGGTGCTGAAAGAGGCAAGCAGTAATGCACTCTGCCCTGAGAATCACAAGATCTAAAAGCCAAGCACCACATAGCAAACCTAAGTACAATATTAATTTTGAAGTTTTATATTCATTTAAAACATTATAGGGATGTTGGTACAGGATAATACTTATGGGCCTTAAAAATGTTTGTAGGTAAGATTGGCTTAAGACAAGTCTTCCATTAAAACAAGAGTCTTGTGACTGGCAATGGAGTTTAGCAGGACGGAGGTGTGAAGGTGTAAGTGCATGGGGCTGAGGGTTTTCTGCAAGACAACGAACAGCAATGTTTCTCTGAAAGCAGGGCTTCAATGCAGTTTGAACAAGACTTCTTTAAAGCCCAGTAAGAATACTTGTCATCCAGGTTAAAGTAATGTTTTTGTGACTGAACTTGTTTCTGTATGGGTTCTGACATGTGCTGAAGAGTTTGGTGCAGAATGACTGAAAACTTGTAAAGGCAGTAGAAATAACCTTCTTCATGTAAATGAGTCCTAAGAGAAAAGCGAGTTTAACCTCTGCAAGGGCAGTGGAAAGGACAAGGCAGGACAATACAATGGCAATGAACATGAATAAATATGCATAAGGGGAGAGAGAGAGAGAGAAGGGGTGGCTAGAAACTTTAGCTTGTAGATGAAGAAGTGACAGTGTTGTAGTTGCCTGCTTGTGTTTATCACTTAGCACTGACCTCAGATTGTTCACATGATTTTAATGAAATCCTTTTAAAATGAAAATTCTGTTGTTGTATCCATCCATGCTCTTGGTTTGATTTACTAATACAGCAGTGATTTAAATCTGATAAAGAGTTGTAATCAAATGTTATTGTTTTTATTTGACAGGCCGGACCTGATAGACATGAATACCGTTGCTGTTCAAAGCAACCTTGCAAATTTAGAACATGCTTTTTTTGTAGCAGAAAAACTTGGTGTTGCTAGACTTCTGGATCCTGAAGGTAAGATAGCTGTGAAGGGCTTTGTTGCAAAAACTCTAACATTAAGCTAAAATCCAATCTGCCTGCAGGTTGTATCATATTTGTGGGCAGTCTTACAACTACATTATAAAGTGCTGTTCTGTCTTGCTCTTTTAGATGTTGATGTTTCCTCACCTGATGAGAAGTCAGTCATAACTTATGTGTCATCACTTTATGATGCATTTCCCAAAGTACCAGAAGGTGGTGAAGGCATTGGTGCAAATGTGAGTAGGAGAAAAATACTTATGCGGTGTGTGAGCTTCGTTAATACAATTCTTGATTTCAGCTCCAGAATGTCAGCTGGATCTTCCGTAGGACTGCTGTTACACTTTTCTTTGACATGAGTTTCTAAATTGACATTTCAGAGGCTTAGCAGCTCTTTCATACTCTGGACATGAAAATATTCATGCAAAAACTTTAACTAAAAGCAATGTACCTGAAGTTGGAGAAATACAGAGTCAAAGTTTTTAATTTCCAGTCATGGACCCATAAATTGTGCCTCTCTGTTTCTTATCAATTTGAAGTTTATTAAACTAGAAAATTTTGTGTTTTCATTGAAATTATTTGGGACCAAAACTGAAGAGTGAAATTGTATATTTGGAAGCTTTAAGTGACCAGTAATGAGCAAGTAAAATTGTTTCAGAATTGCAGGGTTTAGAAATCTTTTTTCTATGTGTGTGAAGACTCAGACTTCAAAGATAAGACAAAAATGAGCTCTCATGATTTTCTTCTGATCTGTAATCTGGGTTTGTGCCTTGGTAGGATGTTGAAGTCAAATGGGTTGAATATCAGAATATGGTGAACTACCTCATGCAGTGGATCAGACACCATGTCACGATAATGTCTGACAGAACATTTCCCAACAATCCTGTGGAATTGAAGGTGAGGTGTGGTCTCTGAAACTCCTTGTTGGAACGACAGTTAATCTTACTGACTGAAAGCATGCTTGAACAAATGAAGGGCTTGTTGATTTATACAATCAAATCAACTGTAGAACAGTACTACTCCTTAACCTTTTGAAAGTACAACAAATACATTACTAACATATGAACAATCAAAAGCAAATCTTTACCTTGTCATTGGTCGCTTTTTGTAGAACTCAAGTAGAACAGTATAAGAACGTAAGTTTATGAAGAATATTAGGAGAGGGTTTACAGACTAAGATTATATTCACTGTAAGTAAAAGTTGATGATGGTTTTTGTGTTTCTGTAGGCACTTTATAATCAATATTTGCAGTTTAAAGAAACAGAAATTCCGCCAAAGGAGACAGATAAATCGAAAATTAAACATCTGTATAAACTGCTAGAGGTAAGTTTTAACATGCATTGAAATGTATAGAAGTTTCCTTTCTGTGACTTAAAATAACAAACATGTATGAATTCTTAAGGTCTGGATAGAATTTGGACGCATCAAACTTCCTCAAGGCTACCATCCAAATGATATAGAAAAAGAATGGGGAAAGCTTATTATTGCCATGCTGGAAAGAGAGAAGACCCTTCGGCCTGAAGTGGAGAGGTACGCTAGTGAATGTTCAAACCCATATTGAAAACGGTGTCATCTTCCATGATAACATCCACATTATTTTTCTAGATCGAGTAATTCTGCCTTTGTTCAAGGCCTGAAGTTCTTTACCTACTTCATAGAAGCAGGTCCAGGTGGAAGTAACTTTGGTGGTCTCAGAAGGTCATGATGAATAGTATCTGTGCCTCAGATTGTCAAAGCACTTAAACACAAATATAACCACCTTCTTTGTACAGTTAGTCAGAGCTAGGTTCATATCACTTCACTGTCTCATTTGGACTTGATTTCGTATAAGCAACATCCTCATCCTTTACATGAAATGTAAATTTCACTTGGTGCACTGCATTGTGGGCTAACGTCCTGTTCTGAGGTTGTTTAAAAGTTGGTTGTACTCAAGAGCACACAAAGCGTTTAGACGTGCAAAGTGTATCGTAGTCTTCCATGGTAGTAGAACGCATGGTACTGTTTCATACATCACTAATAGCATACTGAGCACGTTTAAAATCTTGATGCAGTCTTAGAGCGTTTCTGCTTTATAATGGTACCTCTTGAGTTCTGTGGCAGACACAGGTGCTATCAATTCACTAATTTAAAAAACTTTTATTTAAGTTACATGATTCTTTGGGCTTCTACCTGCAGGAGGGTATAGACACCTGGGTCTGCATTCGTTCTACTTAACTTTAAGCATCCAAAGGAGACACCTAAGATCTGAATCACTTTCTAGAGAATGCCTGCACTGGCTTTCTGCTGACAATAGGGTGATCATTCTCTCTGGTTTCAGTACCTGAAATTAGGTGTGAAGAATCCAGACCATTGTGTAGGAAATCCTCAGAAAGACAGATTTTAGCCAGAGAAGATCCAAAAGACAGAGTTGATTAAATATGTGTCATGCTTACAAAAGCAAGAGCGTGACTGAAATAGCAGATTCAACGGGAGGTGTGGATTCACAGCATCCCTCTGCGAAAGAAGTTGCTATAGAGGAGTACAAAGTGGTCCCCACAATACAGTGTTGTCCCCCCTCATGCAGAGCAGAACACTGGAAAGCAGCGGAAGAAATACAGCCTGCTAGATCTTCTAGGTTAATCTGTCCCGACCTGCCAAAGACAAAGTTGGTGCCCACCTTCGCCAAAAGAAATTCTGTTCATACTTGCAGAAAGCTGGGTTATCTTTGTTGAGAATGTGTATAAATGACTAGTTTACTTCTCTTTTATTCAGATGGACTGAGCACACATAAACAAACATAAACGTAAACTCCTTCCCATATTTCAGGATTGGTAAACACACTTAAAGTGACAGATTGTATGGTGATGGTCACCTCATGTGGTAGTCACTGTAAAATGAGAGAGAAAAGTTAATTAAGTGATTCTGGCTTAGTGATCAAGTTAAAATTGTCGATTGATCTGGACACAAGAACTTGGTCCATGTTTGTTGTATTGGTTACTAGTGCCTCTCACTGATATGAGGTGTTGATACAGCTCCTGGGGTGAGATTTGGTCGTAGCAAAAATGTGACCTCAGCTAATACTGAAATTTGGCAAGTACTAAAACTGCCTGCAGGTGAATACATCTGAAAGTATCAACACAGATAGACAACATGTGGCCAAATTGGTGTATGAGGTCAAAATTAATATCATGTCAATGAGGAGAGTACCAAACTGAGCTCTAGTTTGCAACACCAGCAGAGTTTGGCATTACTGCAGGGGTGTGTCTGTGCCTTTTCTGTGCTCTTCTGTGTAAACACAGTCTTCTTCTGGTGTGGGTGTGGTTTCTCAGGAGGCCCTAAAAGCAGGGAGTGAAATACTGAAAAAATCACCCCTAATCCAAATTCTGAGTTAAAACGTAAACTTCAGGGCAGCGATAAGATTTTTCATGTTTGTTTTGTGGTCAGAACAGCAAGAAGCAATTAGCTCTGAATGTGGAAGATGTTGAAGGGAAATTTGCAGGAGGACAGATTAGTGGGACAGGGCAGTTAGTAAATGTGCATGCTTGGACAGTGGAGTAATGATGGTGGGTTGGATGTTGTTCAGGTGTCTCAAATTCTATTGTTATGAGCTGACTAACCATGATATTCCCCCAGCTTTATTGTGCAGTTCCATTTGAAGCAAAAGGAGTCAGCCCAACCTGGGGGTGTTTTGTACCATACCCAGAGCATGGAATTCTCACTTCACTCCTGTTTGAAACTTCATTGAAGAGTCTGAGAAAGACTGCAAAGACTTCTTTAAATTCTTATTTGGCTTATAAACATTTAGTGACACTTAAATAAAATATTTGGCACGTCTATTTCCTAGAGACGCCCTAATGTTGCTGTCAGGTCTGTACTTGCAAAACTTTAATGCAAAGTAGGGAAGCCAAAAGCAAGGTAGCATACATAGCCCTAGGTAAAATCCTTTGAAGCACTGGCAGAATATTAATTGCTGGGTTTTGAGTATGTGTGCTGAAGCCTATTTAAAGGAGGAGTGCTAGGTGTTTCAAAAGCCAGTAGTGAAATTTCATCCCTAGAAGCAGTACATTTTGTAGGAGTTTTATTTTTTTGTTTTTCAGAAAATGTAAACAGCTAGAAGGACCATGCTCTGGATGTAAAAATGAATAGCAGTAGTTATAGCTATCATAGCAGCGATTCACTGTTTAGCAATAGTACTAGTACTCGAACCAGCGTTGACTCTCATGAGAATTTCCTTTCTGTTAATTGTGGTCCCACACTGGTTAAATCTTGTATAAGCTTTGGTGACAGCACCTTAGAAGGAAACAGGTAACTTGGCAGATGTATTTTTACTTTGTGTTAGATGCGGTTTGTTCGTTTGTTTCTTTGCTTGTTTTTAAAGCCATGAAACGTGTAGTAAATATAAATAATATTAATACTTATTTATTTTTCTGAAATGCTCTGGCATCACCTAGGTTGGAAATGCTGCAGCAGATTGCAAACAGAATTCTGCGGGACAGCCGGAGCTGTGAGGACAAACTAATACTTGCCCGGAATGCTCTGCAGTCTGTAAGTTAGTTGGTGATTTTACTCATCTGTGTTCATGAACTTACTGCAATGGAATGGCTACTTTAAAAAGAAAATCCAGTAGGATTTTTGAGTGCATACTTCATAACTGTTACTTTTTTTTTTTCGTTGTACAGTTAATTTAGCATTTCTTCAAGAAAATACAAAAAATTGCCTAGAGTGAGTTCTGTTATTTTGTTGTTGTTGTTGATAGTTAGATAAAATGCTTCACAATTGTTTCAAGATCAGAAGAGGTTTTTACAAAAAAATTAGGAATTCTTACAGCTCGTTTCTCTCTGGTTTAGCTGCAGGGCTTAATGTCTTTCTCTTATTTTTTCAGGACACCAAGCGATTAGAGTCAGGGCTCCAGTTCCAACATGAGGCAGAGATAGCTGGGTATCTTCTTGAATCTGAGAACCTTCTCCGCCAGCAAGTGATTGATGCCCAAATTCTTATTGATGGAAAATACTATCAGGCAGACCAGCTTGTGCAAAGGTACTTTACAGTGTATTTATGTGAATAAATAAATGTCCCAAATATGAATATCCATTATGGGCAACACTTTCAAATCTCTATGTCTATGGTTAAACTTCTCAGTCTGTCACAGGGCACTCAGATAAAGATTATCAGGTATTCTGGTAGGTACATTGCCCACAAACGTTGTTGAAGACAAGAGGAGCTGTTTGTACTCATTTGTGAAAATGAAGTTATTCACCAGCACAACTTTAATGTTTACTAGATATCTGAGTGTAAAGATGTTAGCTTGTTTTGTTGCACCTAAAATGCTTCTAGAATTCATTAACTTTGATTTTAAAAATGATGGCGAGATTTCTGGTGATAGCTGTAGGTGTCTTTACAGATAATAAGTGGGGTAACATTAGCTTATATGTGGCACTGTGTACAGTCTTGGCAGAAAGATGCATTTAAACAGCGTAGTTCAATTTTGTGAAGAAGTGGCTCCAGAGTTTTTCAGGATTTGTCCTGGAGTGGTGAGATCAAGCACGTAACAGCTCCTCATCAGTGAATTGCAACTGTTTGATCTACTACAACATGCAGTATCTTGTAAGATTTCTGCTTTGCTGATTGTTCCCTGGAATTGTGTATGGTGCATGCTAGTACCCATACCATGCTGATTTTCTGGTCATTGCCTGATTTCTGCATCTGTTACCTGTATTTATAGAAGTATAAGCTGGCATACCCTATACTTTCTGATATAAATGCTTATTTATAAATATTTAAGTACAACTGAAATGTAAGAGATCATGTGAATTCGTATTGCTATTCAGTTCGGCATGATAAACCTTAATCATAAGCATTCATTGAAATTATTTTTATTTATTTGTTTACTTTATTTTCTTTTAATAGGGTTGCAAAACTTCGTGATGAACTGATGGCCATACGGACTGAATGTTCTTCCATGTACAACAAGGGGCATGGGTTGACAACAGAGCAGACAAAGCTGATGATATCAGGAATAACCGAAAGCTTAAACTCAGGATTTACAACAAACCTAACCCCTGAATTAAATGCTGCAATGACCCAAGGTTTAACACCTACTTTGACTTCTTCCAGCTTGACATCTGGCCTTTCATCAGGTCTTACTTCCAGACTGACACCAACCATCACTCCTGCTTACGCACCAGCCATCCCACCGCAGTTAATTCAGAGCTATGTGGCAGGAGTAGACAGTGGGACTCTGCAAACACTCAAACTGGTGCAAATCAGAAAACCTCTTATGAAATCGGCTTTTGTGGATCAGAATTTAACAGAAGAAGAGGTGAACATGAAATTTGTCCAGGACCTGTTGAGCTGGGTGGAAGAAATGCAGGTAGCAATCTTTATGGGAAGAGTCCATTTCTAATTATTACATTTACTCCTTGTAGATCACGGCTCATTTTTCCTTCTTGTTTGTAAGGTGCAACTTGATCGAGCAGAATGGGGTTCAGATTTACCAAGTGTTGAAAGCCATTTAGAAAATCACAAAAATGTCCACAAAGCTATTGAGGAATTTGAATCCAGCCTTAAGGAAGCTAAAGTCAGTGAGGTACAGCACCATATTCTTTATTTCTTTGGTTACTTTCTTACTGGGTGGCCCATAAACTAATACTGAATTTTAGAACTGTGTTTGGATTTCACAGTCTTACTTACTTGTACTTCTGATCTCTAAATGACATATCATGAAATCAGGAGATCTAATGGTTTAACATACCTAACCTTTTTGTTGTCTTTTGACCTTATATACCAAATACAGATAGAAATGACTGGCCCTTTTAAACTCGATTATGCAGAAAAATTGCACAAACTGGAGAGTCAGTATTCAAAACTCTTGGTAAGTTTGTCATACTTCTTCAATGTTCAGCTTTCCTGTGTTCATCATCTTTGATAAGGGATGAGTTTTAAATTCTGATTGTTATCAATATTTTTTTTCTTTTTAATAAAGAACACTTCAAGAAATCAGGAAAGACGTCTAGATACTCTTCACAATTTTGTATCTCGTGCTACTAGAGAGCTGATATGGCTGAACGAAAAAGAAGAGGAAGAGGTTGCATATGACTGGAGTGAAAGAAACTCCAATATAACGAGAAAAAAGGAGTACCATGCAGTATGTATTCCTAGTATAATCCAGAGGGAATAATTAAATGACCTTTAATAATTTAGGAGATTTCTAAAACATTTCTGTCTTTTTTTGTCTGGAAAAAAGGAATTAATGAGAGAACTTGATCAAAAAGAAGACGTTATTAAATCAGTACAAGAAATAGCTGAGCAATTGCTGCTTGAAAATCACCCCGCCAGGCTAACCATTGAGGTAAGTTAGTAAAACAGCACACAAACAAGAAAACAGTTTTGTGATTTAATAGACATTAGATTTGGGGGGAAAAGAAGGGAAGTGCTAACGTGTAGGAAATTAAGCAAGACTCTGAATAATGGGGCCTTCTTTTTCCTCTTCAGCATCTCTGTTGTACCTGTCTTCCAATTTCCAAAAAGTAAGAACACTTCTGTAAAGTTATGATTACATCTTGGATTGCTTAGATAAAATCCCCCTAAAGTCTAAAATTAAAATTTCCAGAGTTGGTCTGTACAGGCATTTCTGATCATGCACACAGCTTCTAGAGTTACTGATAGAAAGTGTATTGGCAGACTGAGGGTACAGAACAGTCCTTATGTGGTTTATCTCCTGTTTGATTGAAAGGAGTTTCAGTAGAGCTTTTCAAATCACTTACTGTATGTACAGGTTCCTATTATGGTTTAGGGTTGGTTTCATAACTTATTTGTCAGTGAATTATGAAACTTGTTTGGCTGTTAAAAATCTGACCAGGCGATGTGATTTACTTCAGGCTTGAATCAAGCTCTATATTACAGGTAAACGGTGTATAGAAAATTTATTGTAGCTGTCATAGGGTCATAACAAGTTTCCAAAGGAGAATGTAAAATGCTTTTCTCTGTAGTTTTTCAAGAAAAGAGTAAATACAGACAGTGGATGGTAAAAATGGAAACAATAAAAAGCTGTTTTATTATATAAGAATGAAAAAACAGTCAGAGAGGATGGATTTTTATGGTTCTTCAGCTCAGTGAGTTTATATCTGCGTAAATTGGAAACATGAAGAAAACTCCTCCCTTCCTTCCTTCTCCTGGCTTTTACTTTGAATAATAAATGACTTTTTATGTAACATGGAGAGTTCTATTCTTTAAAAGTATGTGCTGTTCTAATGGGTTCTTATCAGTGTAATATACTTAATATATGAATATATCAAACATACGTATTATGAAACCAGGCCATCGCAGTGAAGATGACTATGCAAGTTATGATGTCTGCAGTAAAGCTATATTGGGACATTTAAAAAAAGAAAAAAAAAAGAAATTTATGCCTTTTCTACGGAAGAATCTATGCATTAGTGCACCCGTTTGAAATTCATTGAAGCCAGTGGAAAAACTCTTTTGAATTCCATGAGAATCATATGGAATTGAAAAATTGAGACTTTTGGCTGCTTTCACAAAGCCAAGAGTACCCGCTGCTGGTGAGCACTCCTGCAGACAGTATAGGAACCGTCATTCGAGCAGGGTTATGTTCTTTAAATTCCTGTGCAACTGTTACACAAAATTATACATTGCAGCGAGTCCTGATTAATTATTTTTATTGTGTATTCAGTGTGACTTTAATATCCGATTTGTATCCAGGCAAGAATCCAGCTATTTTGATTGAGTAAATAGAGACACAGATCTGTACATGAGCTTAGGCTGGGGGAACCTCAGGAAATGTAGTCCAGCCCCTGCCTAAAGTAGTGTCAGGGCTTTGTTCAGCTGAATTCTGAACGTGCCTGAGGATGGTGATTTCACGGCCCCTCTGGGCAAGTTTTCTTATGTTTGACTATGCTGTAGTGACAGATTTTTTTCTCATCTCTATTTGGAATTTTCCTTGCTGCAGCTTGTTTTTCCTGGGCAATGAGGTCAGGTTTAGATGCTTGTATTTGCTACATTACTTTTGTGTTTCCTAAATGCTGTAAAGGTGTGCATGTTTTAATTTTCATTTGGTTTTCTAAAATATATCTCTCTTCCTTAAAGGCCTATAGAGCTGCAATGCAGACACAATGGAGCTGGATTCTTCAGCTCTGTCACTGTGTGGAACAACATTTGAGAGAAAATGCTGCATATTTTGAGGTAAGACAGTAAATCAATGAAAATGTGAAATGCTTTAAGTTTTGTCTGTAGTCCAAAAATTCCACCAAAAGTGCTAGTCCCTCTCTCACAGTAGTTGTAGAATTTACATTTGTCATGTGCAATCATTAGATGATGAGCCGTGCTCCCACATAATTACCACACCTGTCGTGTCTTCACTACGGTTATATCAGTTCACAGCAGATGAAAATCTGGCCTGACATTTTTTCAGAGTGCTGCAGTGCAATTGGAGACTCTTAGAACGAAGCTGTGTTCTCTCCCTGTCATGCACAACTGCTGTCATTACAGCTTCTGCAGCTGATGTAGAGTGAAGGGTAGTTAGTGATGGCCAAGGGAGAACATATTACAGGTGGTTGTTCCAGGACTACCCAAATAGAAATGGAAGATACGGCATTAATAATAAACAGAGCAGAGAACACCCTGACAGCAGACATGTCGAACAAAACACCTTTCTGATTATCACCCATTTACATACTCAGCAAATGATGCCATACTCAGTTAAATGCATGAGGATCAAGGATTGAAGAGTTTTTTGTTAAAAACAAATATACTCTTTTTTAATATTTAAATTATAAAGGTTAATCCTTAGTGTCTTCTGGGTTGGGTGGTTGAAGAGGAACGGGGATGATACTGGGATGAGATGCCTTTGGACTGACAAGGGTGAGAGCCCAGAGTTAGGAGGTAGACACTGGAGAAGACAAAGTTGAGTAATTTGGGCCTCTAGTGGTAAGTGGAAGAAATGGGAATTCTGGATTTAAGAAATGAGGTTTCAGGGACAGTATGAGGTGAGGATTATCATGGGATGTTTCCTTTTGCAATCATGCTAACCAGGACCCTAGTTTGGCAGTGCAGATGCCCATGCAGAACTGCCAAGTGTGGCAGCTCGCCTCCCCTCCTGCATAAAATGTTTGCTCCAGTGTGCTTGCTGAATTTGGCAACTAGTTTGCTCCAGTTTGTAGGCTTTGTCTGTGTTCTTTATATATGAAAGTAATTGTAATTCCAAGGTAAACAAGAATCACTTCAGAAAATTTTTGCATTGCAGGAACAGTAATTAACTAAGGTTCTAGAACGGCTGAATTAATTTTGCACGTCACTGGTGCCGAGAATAACTGATGTTTCAAAGCGTGCCTTCTTGAAGAGTACATTTAGACATGAGATCATGAATAGTGTCATGTGGCGCAGTGGTTACTTCAAACTACTAAAAAAGATTATTTTTAAAAGGACAGCACTTAAAGAAAACTTCATCATGTAGCTGTTTGTGTACTTAGGTTGTTTAAAAATAACCCAGATATTTATCTCACCCTAGTTTTTCAGTGATGCCAAAGAAGCCATGGAATATTTAAAGAATTTGAAAGATACCATATACCGAAAATACAGTTGTGATAGATCAAGCAGCCTTCATAGGCTGGAAGACCTTGTCCAGGAGTCTATGGTAAGAATTCAAGAATCCTATTAATGTGAGTTAAAATTAAATAAGAAATGTGTAGATTATAGTTTGATATAAAATATGTGTGTTAAAATTATTCCTTTAAAGTGAAGGAAAAAATTATTTTTCAGAACTTATAATTAAATAATTGCATCTATCCATGTGTAATGACTGTTTTTCATAACTTTAAAATACAGTTTTATTTATTTCTTTATCTTTACAGTACCAGATGTTGTGGGAAAACAGTGGCTTTAGAAAGATACTTTGTTCTTGTAAAATGTGTTGCTTTTAAGAAACACAGTAAAAGAAGTCAGGAAAGAAAAGGAAAGCTTAACAGGATCAATGAAGCAGCCCTGTCTTCTGGCCATCTCTTATGACGTATTCTTTTCTTGACTGTTTTAGGAAGAAAAAGAACAACTCTTGCAGTACAAGAGCACAGTAGCAGGCCTTGTGGGGAGAGCAAAGGCAATAATTCAGCTGAAGCCAAGGAACCCTGACTGTATACTCAAAACATCCATCCCAATTAAAGCCATCTGTGACTATAGACAAATTGAGGTTAGAAACATGAATTTCTTCAAATCTATTACAGATGTGAGAATTCAGCTAAAGTTTCATTAATTACCATGCTCCTGGAGAATGATAGACTCTAAATTTCTTCCACCCTAGTAAACAAGAGCAAATCCTCACATTGAACATTGCTTTTGTTGTTCTGTTGCTTATTTGTTGACATCATTTGCAGAAGTGCTTTGTAGAAGTAGTTTGTAATGCTTAGCTCATTAAATTATTCTGCTTTTCTGTTAATACTAGATAACAATTTACAAAGATGATGAGTGCGTATTAGCAAACAACTCTCATCGTGCTAAATGGAAAGTCATTAGCCCGAGTGGTAATGAGGCCATGGTTCCATCTGTATGCTTTACAGTTCCTCCACCAAACAAAGAAGCAATAGATACAGCCAACAGGTAGGGACAAAACAAAACTCCTCATTTTCTTTTAAAATTCATTTATATGAAGCCTGAGTTAAAATAACATCTGACTTTTTTTCCCTTTTCATGTGGTATGCTGATCTGAAGTTGGAGTCTTTTTATGTTTCAGGATTGAACAGCAGTTTCAGAACGTTCTGGCCCTTTGGCATGAGTCACATGTGAACATGAAGAGTGTGGTGTCCTGGCATTACCTGACAAACGAAATTGAAGCTGTTCGAACTGGCAACGTTGCCTCGGTATGTGCAATGTCTAGAAAGGGCCTTTTAGCCATTTGCTAGGAAGTCATAGGCTACACTTCCCAGAAATGTTGTATAATCAACAATTTGCAGCAATCCTCATCTTCCTTGTGGGAATAGCTGGCGGTGGCCACGCTGGTTACCACTGTGCAACATTCTGCCTTGATCTGGGCAGCCTTTACAGAGCTACATTTGGGGAGGGAGCAGAGAGGTGGTACCAGGAAAACTACCTATAGCCTTACTGTGCTAATCTCCCTGGTCTGCTGTTGTCGGCAGAGGGACAAGATCTCTCGAAAGCAATGAGCAGTGACTAAATCTGAGTTTTGTTCTGCAATAGTCTACCTTTCTGCATTTATGTTGAAGATGTCTTGGGAGATTAGCTGCGTTAGGCTAAGGTTAATCTTCATGAAAACCCCGATTATTTCCTCATGCTGCAACTTCTTACTAACAGCGTAACAACTGTGAAGCAACCTTTAGTCTTTGAAGCTGAAGGCAGCTGAACACTCATTCCTCTGTAACGGTTTTTTTCATTTTTATGCATGTCTGTAACTTGAAATATTAAATAGCTAGTTAGGATCAATTTGTCAGAAATTAAATAGTGCTATAGATCAAAATACTATTCTTTCTGGCTAAAACAGTTTGTGAGATCACTGAATTACACAATGTTAGATGTATAGCATAACACTATTTAATATAATAGTTTATTATACAACATTGGTGTAAATCTGTCTACAAACTGTAGCAGTATTTGCAATACCCAAAATAACATTTCCACTTCTAATTTCCCGCTGTTGTTGTTGGTCGGAAGTAATCTGAGATAATTCTTGAAGTGTCCCTGCTTGTATGACTCTTGCTGGCTGCTCGTTTGTTGCTATGTGGCATTAGATGGAGAAATGGTGTCTGATATAGGGTTGGCTTAACACAGCTCATTACTGTCATTAAAGATGGAAAAGCCTTTTATAGTGAGTATAAACTATCAACTGTCAAGTGGACTCCAGCTTAGGAACAGCAAGCTTTCAGAACCTCAATTGTTTGACTTTACCAACTTAGTAATTGGACAGTATTGCTTTTTGATAAAAAACATTACAGGGAACTGTGTGAGTGATGCATCATTGCTGACTATTCCTTGGATTTATAATTTGTTGCAGATAAAGACGATGCTGCCAGGTGAACATCAGCAGGTTCTAAGCAATTTGCAGTCCCGTTTTGATGATTTTGTGGAAGATAGCCAGGAGTCCAAAATCTTCACAAGCTCTGATACAGCACAGCTGGAAAGGGAAGTTAATGTTTGCAAGCAATACTATCAAGAGCTTCTGAAATCTGCAGAAAGAGGTAAAACTTAGCTGAGAACAGTAGAAAGATGCCCTCAAGGGAGAGATTATAATTCTTAATAAAACTTCCCTCTGAATACAAGCTCTAGTGAATTACCCATTTTATCAACCAGTTTACCAACAATATTTATATTGTTAATGCCCTAATTCTTCTGAACAGATAGAGTCATCATTTTAACAATGTGCACAATTACATTGTACAGAAGCTCTAGGTTTTTTTAACTTCGTATATATTAAGCTATGTAAAAATATTGATGTGTTACTTAATACACAGAGTACTACAAAAATCTTTACACCCAAGAATTTATTCTGTGCGTTACAGCTCACAGTTTAGTCATACCTTCCTTGGGTTTGAATGTTGGAAATGCAACTTGATTACTTTGTTGAGTTCATGACAGAATTAGAAATGTTTCACACTGTTAAGGCAAGAGAAGTGTCCTAGATATTTTCCTAGCTCCACAGAATGCCTGTAGTTACTGCTCTCTTAACTCTGTTTTTAAATACAGTAGGAACAGAAGACTTAAAATATCTGTTCAGATTTACTGTCAAGTAGCTAATGATTTAAAGAAATACAGTAGTGCAAAGCTGATTACTGCATTAGCATATTTCACTACGCTTAG